TTTTCCGTATTTTACAACATTTCGCAACCAAACTTTGAAATAATGTACTTATTTTAGTATGCTCTTTCTAGCAATGGTGATTTATTTCAAGGCCGGATTTTGAGGGGAGGTGTGGAGAGGTGGGCACCTCCCCTGAGAATTTTTGCACCTCTCCTTAAAGGTCATGCATCTCCCCTTCGGAAAGTTTCAATGATGGAACAAAGTAAAAAATTAATGTAATGGTTGCTTAGGATCTACATTTCAATACAAAAAGTTTTCTCTGTAAAATTGAAACAGTGATAGCTATATATTCATATCTGTGTCAAGTACACTTTTAATGCAATGTTTTGAAAGAAACTTTGTAGCAATTGTAATGAAGGGCAAGATTGGAGTCATATATTCATAATTCATTGATACACTGGTACATATGTACACTACATGCATACCTTACCTTGTTGATATTGTCCTGTTCTACAATAAGCCCTAACATTCCATGGGGGTTGTGAGCTAGACCGCAGCGCCTCCCCTAACAGTTTTTCCACCTCCCCCACTATTTTCACCAAAATTCGGCCTTGATTTGCATCTTTTTGCCTAGCTCTAAAATTAGTCTAATGGGAATCTATATTGTTTGGAACATTTTTTGTTCACGTATACCGTAGTATTCGCTTTATAAAGCTTCTCCCTGGAGGGGTGCTTAACAGAGAGAACAAGATTCTGACCTTGCATGCAGGATTATTTCGTGCCAGGTAGCAGACCTGGTACACAGGAACAAGTTTGCAAAGAACAGAATAAAATTTGTGAGTCTAGTTACACCGCATTTTAAATATATAATAGTAAATTTGACAATGATTTCGAAAGATCAAGGCTGTAGTTCTCCGATCCGCTTTTCTAACTCAATATGCCAAGTATCATTGCATCAAACAACATATACCTTCATGGTGAGCAACTAAGCATATGTTAAAAGTGTCTTTGCGTTTAGTTCAAGGCCCTGTACCCGAAATGAACGCCTGAGGAGGCGTTTTGTTAGATATAACTTATACAAAATCTCTTCTCCATATAGGGTAATGGTTTGAAGTCGATTCTGGTTGACAATAAATCAGCTCAAGCGGTCACCTTGTTTATCCTCCCAACTTGGACTGAATTTCGTTTTTTATCGTATAGTTTTATTGTGGAGCGAGATGAAAGCTTCTTATTTCAAAAAGAAACAGCTTTTCAATATCAACTCCGTGCACGCCCTGAAGGAGAAAAAATGCAGACTATTTGGTCTGTAAGAAAGTGGGAAAAAGATTTGTTGCTTCGAGTCCGTGGTGATCATGAGATACATGTACAAGAGGAAGAATTAGCGGAGTGCAAAGAAAAGCAAATTTGTATACGGCGACAAAATATGGCAAAAGAAATTTTAACGGCAGGAAGCAAGAACCTGTACGAAATCTTAAACCTCAATATGGACGAAGTTCGTGGGAAACCCGTTGAAGAACAGAACAAAATAATAAAAAGAGCTTATCATTCTCAATTGCGGCGTTGGCATCCTGACCGGAATCCTGAGAATGGTGATTCCGCTATATGTCAAGAGATCATCTTTGCTTACAAGATTCTTAAATATCCCGAAGCACGTGCTGCGTATAATAACGTCGCAGATTTTGACAAAGGATGGTTCTCAAAAGCGCGTTATAAAGCTATGTTCAAGCCCGAATGTTACAGCGCTGAGCAGAAAAAACAAAAAAGAAGGAGACTTGGATTATTGTTTTTGTCAGGTCTTTTCATAGCGGCAGGCGTTGGGTTAACATTCGTAACAGCAGGAATGGCCGCACCTGTTGTACTCGGGGTGTCAGCTGCATCAGGAGCCCTTATAGGAGGCGGGATTTCAAGTGGTTTACGGACAATAAGCCGTGAATCAATAGAAAAAGGTTGCTCTTTCCGTAAATACTTTACAAGTTTAGCGATTGGTGCTATTGGTGGAGCAGCCATGGGAGCAGGAGTAGCTGGGATTGCGATGTTTTTAGTGGGGCAGCAAAGCTTGCATTTAAAGCTGCCCAACTTTCCCTGGAACGGCAAATTACCACAAGGATGGCCACCACAGCTTTTCGTGGCTTTATTACATCCCTTACTAACAATATAGACGCAATTCTTGCAGGTGGAGAGAAAACTAGCTGGAAACAATTTATTTTACATGTCTTATTTGATGCATGGCTGGGAGGAATGGTTGGTTTACCAGGAGGGTTTGCAGAAAATATGATCCAAGACGTGGTTTCTGCAGAAGGCGCACTGGCAACGCTTGAATCAGCTTCTTCTAACGCACGCAATGTTATTGAAGATACGACAACAGCAGCAGTGGACACGTTTGTTAATTGTGTCAAGAACGTCTTGATGACGATGTCGAAAATAAATCCATTTTGGGCCATATAAAAAATGGTGCAGAGCAAGCTGCAATAGCAGTTGGGAAATGTTTGGCAGTAGCTGCTGCTAAAGTTGCGAATAAGAAAGTCAGTGACGGGGGAAAGGCAACAGGAATCAATGGCGAATCCGGCAACCAGAATAAACTAACTGATGATATGTATGAAGAAACTAATGATGAAACAAGGAAAGATACAAATAACACAACAAAAGTCGCAAAGGATGTGGCAAAAACGGCTGAGGAAGAAGGAATCAACACGACTAGTGCGTACAAAGACAGTACTGGAGCAAGTGATGATATTGGTGAAGAAGTTGAGGATTCCAATAACGCAACAAAAGAAGACGAATGTGAGGAAAATATAGATGATGATGATAAAACTGACAATGACAGCTCAGCTGAATTAGAAAAAAAACAAACCAAGTCGCACCTACCTGATCTACCACGTTACAAGTCCTCCTTAACATCCGAAACAAATAATAGTAATGAGGAACAAACTGTATCTGATAGTGATGACTCCACGGAATGCGCGAAACCTATATTAATGAAGTATTTTTCTGAAGGATATTGGTTTTCCAAGATGCTTGTTGATTATAAAGAGAACGGTGAAACAAAACATTATGAGGTTAAAGGTAGTGAAAGTTCGATTCCGATACCCAACAAAGCGACTAAAATCAAAGTTAGATTTCAGGTTATGCGCTTTCTTGGTACTTGGTGTGATGTAAAAAGGTACGACCGTTTCAAAAAATGTTGGATAGAACCGAACCAGCCACATACTTTCGAGTACAACACACCAGTGAATCGCACGTACACTTTGTCTGGAAACTTGTATTATGAAGCAGTAATGAACATCACAGGAGATTATGACAATTTAAACGAAATCTGAAAGGATGTACTGCACCACAGAAGTTTAACATGATGTATTTAAAGATTTCTTAGTGTGGAATATATAACTGAATGTAAAAGACCATATACAGAAGACACAAAAAACGAAAGCGAGTAAAGAACACAACTGCGATAATTTCACCGTTGTCAGTGATCCAAAGTGTTTATTGAAAAGCCAATTAATAAGCTAGCCAACGCATCAAAACATAATTAAAACGCGTTCTGTGCGCTGGCTATTGAGAAGCCTCTATAAAACACAACAATTTGTCGGGTCAATTTCTGATTTTGGTTCAATGTTGTTCGAACTGGTATAAAAGTGTTGTCAGTTGGTGAGATCGTCAGATGACGTTTTATCTTGTAACGTCGAACTAAATCCGTATTCCCCTCGACAAATCGTTGTGTGAAAGCGCCCATATGGGCAGTACACGCCCCAAAGGGTACGTGACCAGGTTACTTAACTCATTCATAGGATATATTTAAAGGGTACATTACACTCAGCAACGGTACGTAACCATAGCATACGTTAGCTCTTGCCTAGATGTCATTACTCATCCGTAGAACACGTAGTCATGTAGCCTCTTGTTTATGACGTCATCACTCACAACATACTCTGAATGCTAATTATTGCCGACGATGGGAGGGTGTGTGTGGGTAAAGAACTACTGGTGACAGTGTAAGTACTTTCATGTAAAATCACCGATTGTATGCCTGAAATCATCAGGCCAAGGAAGGTTATATGTTTTCTATATTTTGACGCCCTGATACTCAGTGACGAACTGTTCACTATTCAGGAGGTGGGTGGGTGCGGTAATTTTGCATTGTTGTTTATAATATTTCCTTGACCATCCCAGAATGATGGTTTAATCCCCCCTCCACCATAATGGTGGCTTTGGACACGAATTTAGTTCAAACATAGGTGATTGAAACATCTGCTCAGGAATATTCTTTTAAGATTATTGTTGATACTATGAATTGGCAAGAAAATGGCTGAAAAATGAGATTTGTAAATAAAAGCGGTACTGGAAAATGTGATCCATATAGCCCACGCTTCAGGCCCCTCTTATAATTTTGTTGGCCTACCCTCTCATAACTATTTTAAAACTCCGTCGTCCCCATCTCTCAATCCCCCGGGCCCACCCTCCCTCGTAAATAACGGTTGCTAATAAGACTATTGCGAGAATATGCCATGAAAGTACACATGCCAAGAAAGTACAAACATTACTTTCTAGGAACTACTTCACAGTGTTCTGGGAATTCAACCCGGAAACGAACGAGTACTGTGTCTTTTGCAATTTTCAAGACTAGATCAGCGACTATTGATAGATCCGCAAATTTAATTCTCTGGTATTATACCATTGGAAAATTTTAATTTATTATCCGCAACTTTGTATTTCAGCAAAATTGGGTAGTTCCAGAAAATATCACCCCCTCCCCCCCCCCCCCCGCAAAGAGGAAATTTGCGCTGTCTTGTGAGGGAAGGAAGATACATTTTTTATGATAATTGTTAGTGTAAAAGGGGAAGGGGGGTTACTTCCAATTTCCTTCGTGGAAGAGGTATTGATGTTTTCTGTAATGACCCATTGTAAATTACTTTTCCAATGCATTTTTATTGAAAAAATAATGCATATGCGTTATGTAGGTGATTTTTGTAAACCACGTTTTTATTCAATTAAAAGACACAAAGTGGGACTAACGATGTGAAGTTATATTTGCTTCATATATTTTAGGGAAATGCAACTTCATTCACAAATTATGAAGACACATGCACTCAGCAACGAAAAAGCTATATAATCCATTTTTTCTATACAGTACTAAATTCGTTCCGAACACGGACACTGTTTTTTTTATTTGGAATTTTTAGATATTTTGCTAAACGAAAAAATACGTAATCACCCGAGGAAAACCAGAAGATCTGCAAAACCAGAAGATCTGGTGAAAAACCTTGGTGATTACGAGTCCGGATTCCGAAAACCCCGGGGGCAACCCTGCTGCGACCGAATACTAACTACAATATATACCGTACCTACCCATACCTACCAAAATCCAGAAAATCAAAAATCTTGCCAAAAAATTTAAAAAAAATTCACCAGAAGTTCAAAAACAATTGTAGACCACCCGAAAATTCAGTCTACAGTTTAGCGCAAGACAAATATATCTCTTTCTATGAACAAATTGTTCGACAAAAGGGTATATTTGTCTTAACCTAGAAACCTGAAAATATTTAGTCAGATATGTTCAGGACAAGGTGCGTAGCAAATGAATCCAATGGCCCAACATATTTTACTATAGTTTGTAAAAGCTGTTAGGACAGTTGGATGCATTTTGAAGATGTGATGTGTGCATTTCTATATTTAGATTTTTGGCGCATTTTGCTTTATCGCGCGCAAGAAAATTGCAACGCGCGCACTCAATTTAAATTAGCATGCACTGGTTTGCATGCCCTTAATTTTACTAAGCATGCAACTGTGCGCATTTAATTTTTATATGCATGAAACGTTGCGCACTTAATTCTAATCAGTCAACATGCACCTTAATTTATTTTTCAAGTCAAGACTATATAGAGCACACTTCACTATTTGCAGATGGAGTACACTCACTGACTGTACTCCGCATTATAGCAGCACGCGCGCGCCGCTTATGTTAATGAGCTGCGCGCGACCATGGTGTTTATGATCCATGGGTCGACCAAGTTTATGTATGAACAATGCAAGACAACACGGAATGCAACATGGCAAACATTCTATATTGCTATTGCGACCATATATAAACTTGATCTGCAGAGTGTTTTCACGGCGGCTATGTTTGGGAACAAGTTAAAGTGCCGAAATACAAGTTAACAAGAAAACCATTATTTAAAAATACTTGTCCGTCGACAAAGCAACACGTGAAAACACTCTATTTTTCCTGGCGGTCTTTTCGGCTGGAAACTTATAGTACAATTTATAAAGCGCGCGCGCAATGCATTAGCAACCTAAAGAAACGAGCCTATTCTCCACTTTGGAGCGAGAACTACGTTTCTTATCGTTAAGCTCCTAATCCAAGATATCTTGGCAGAAAATTGTTTCTTTTTTGTTCTTTTTTCTGCAACAAGTATTCTTGGACTATTGTTGCTTATATTCAAAGTGGTTTCGCGGTTTTCTTTTTTATTCCTCTTTTTCGCAATATTTTTTATTTCTCTTTTTCGCAATATTTTCTTTTTTATTTCTCTTTTTCGCAATATTTTCTTTTTTCCACTTTGAATTGATTCTGTAAGTATTTTTCAACAGCTAGGAAGACAGATTCCATTTTCCTGCTGTGTTAAATACTTCTCAGAATGTTACTGCCGCAAAAGTATGATGATAATGAATTATAGTAAACATGCAAAGCGCCCCATTTCTAGCTGTCTAACCTTCCTAACTAGTGCGCGCGCACATATCATTTCAAAAACCTGCAAGGGAAACCCCCGAATGTGGAGTCTCGGTCATGCCCCTAGCTTAACTTAACTTAACTTAACCTAGTGTGCCGGTTGCACCTGATGAGCTTCCACAAACAGGGGTAAGGTTTGCATGCCTTATGGTAATGTCTTCCATCGTCGAACCGCCATAACAGAGAGGGAACCTAATCTCTGGTAGCGAACTGTTTTCATATAACCCGGCGCAGAAAACCAACGTTCGAAACCAGCGATATACATGCACTACGGCCTTATTCACTAAAGCCCAGACTGTTTATCATTACAATAATTATTTCATTACAGT